GCTCCAAACTCCCTCTCAGTATTTTTAAAGGACCATAGGAACCTGGCTATGTTCTGTTGAACTGTGATTATAGTAATACTTTGATTTTTACAGTATTTAAGATTAATTTCCCACCACACATTTCCCCCTTCTGTGACTTTTAATTGTCACAGATCTGTTAGTCATCCCTACACCCTGCTGTTAAGTTCCATCTGATTACACCACAGCGATTATCAAGATGATGTCCCATCCGCAGACCTGAGCATGGCATGGAAACATTCCCTCCCTGTTTTTGACAAATAACAGCATTTCTCATGATGCAAATTTTTCATTAAGCGAGATCACCCAGCTGCTCTAAATTCATGTGGAAATACTTAATCACTCTTGATATCTTTGCCAGATATTGAGATTTTATATGGTAATCAAGAGTCAGCCCACACTGATCTTGTCGAGAAAACATCAACCCAGCCTACTCTCTAAACGGTCTTTCAATAGATTCTAGATTGCTGCCAAGTACACCCAATTTGCTCGAAGGCCTGTCCTTGCCGGATGATGAGTGGTAGTATCAGTTCATGCATATCCCCTCCTCTTTGGTTAGTTCATGACTCACCATATGTTTTGGAATAGTTACCGCACTCCTTTGCCTTCTTTTTTGTACACTTCACTTGGAGCGGTCGATTCACTCCTGCCTTAGGTTGTCCCCCTGCGGAGATCTTACCCGTCTCTGGAGTGAATCACAACTATTGACCATTTGATTGTTGGAGGGATTTAAGTTTCCTTACCCACTCTTGAATATAGAATCGCTGAATGTGCCAGCATTTCACTCCTTGAACCTGCAACTAAGCAGATTGCGGCTGCTGTAGTTCACAACAACATCAGCGTGGTCCGACTTTCCTGTAACTCAACTTAAATCAGCAATAGAGGTTACTTAGGTAAATGCATGAATATACTAAGACCAGCCCAGGGTACATTAAGTGAATACTAAACTGACAGATGCAGTTACATAGTAAATGATTATACATTATATGCTTTAAACAGAATAATGAGGTTATATACTTCATGATTATGCTCTACTGTATGTATTCTAAGCAAGATAATGTCTTCTCTTGTCCCAAGCCTGACATCTGATGCGTCGACTCTGCTGGTAGAAGAGAGGTTGTTGGCCTTTTCACTAAGCAGCAGTTAAAAGATATAGTTCAGCTGAGAAATGTAAAATGGAATAAAAATAACTGTGTTACTCTAACTATATGTGGTTGAGATAATTATATGTGCACTTTTAACTATTCACCTATTCACAAGTACGTAAGTGTGTGTGTTAGTATTAGGGTATATATATATCTTCAACCCAGGTGTTTTGCACACCGTAGAGGGTCGTCACTGTGGAGAGGCTACTAGCGCATACGATGCACAGTGACATGGATCATCTTTCCAGCACTTCTGACCTGCCCCTGCTCTCCTTCCCCATTCGCAGAGAGGATTTCCAAAATAAACATTCAATTGGGCCACCTTTAAGATTTGCCAGGTTTCCATGCTGTTTCTGACACTCCTTGGGTCCTTTTTGATCAATAGTCACAATGAAACACCCCCCTCTTTTACCCAATGTTAGTGTTACCCTTCAATCCTTGCACATACTCCATGTGATTCTGCAAGCATTGTGCCAAGCACCAGTCTGTCCTGTGTTGTCGTGATTGACGTGGTGTGAAGCTGATCACTCTTTTTCCATTTGTTGCTGTTGAAGTACGATTAATGAACCTCTGTTCATGATACAACAGCAGGTTTCTCCATCCTGCATTGTGCATTCCCTCTGGTTTGAACCCCTGGGGAGATGTCAACGGTAATGCTTCCACACAGTTAATTTTGTCCTCTGCACATATTTTGGCATTTTTCACTTCAGGCTCCCATTTGCTATTTCCACCTGTTCCTTGCAATTGGGGATGATATATGCAAATTAACCTTTTTCCCAATTCCCAAGTTTATACCCACAATATCATTACCTTGTTCACAAAGTGACCCTCCTTCTGGTCATATGATGTTCGAAATGCGCTTTAAAAATGCCTTCCTTCCATTGTGTCTAACACAAACCTTACATTTACGCAATACTTGATTTCACATAGCTTTTCAATATGGTGACCTCACGCTTGCTTACTCCATTTACTCCCCTCCCCCCTTTCTGACGCATGGCCTACGCCATGTGTCAACTTAGCACAGACAAGAAACAGGTACTTTTGTAAGTCAGGGCTTTCCATCAGTCCCACACATACCACTTTTTCCTTCCACCCCTGTTTTGTGAATGCATTCACCATATTAGGGAGTCTCAGGTGTGTGCGGACTGCAGGACTATTTCAATTTGCTCAAAAAACCCGTTCTGTCTCATTTGTCCATTTTATCTTAGAAACTGTGGTCAGAGTCATTGTCCCAGTCATAGTTGTTGTCAATTTCATAATTATCAAAGATTTTGTCAGTCAAATTGTAAAAAAAATGAAATGTGATCACATATTATAAGTTGACTTTTCAAGTAACTGGTGGTACCGCCTTTAAGTATTTTGAATTTTAACGGAATCATCATTCAGAATTTCAGAGTTAAATCCACCCAAAATTTTATTTCCAAATTACTTCTTTTGAGATGCTTATTGGCTGGCCAGGCCACTAGGCCTTTCAATTTAACAATAATTCTCATCTATTGCAGATATATGTATATATCTTGCTCCTTTTTCTGGGTATCTTGTCTCCATGTGATTCCGGGTCTGTAAAGAAACTTGTCATTTAGATTCACATAACAACAGATTCACAGCTTCGTTACTCCTAAACTCTTCATTGTGTCACCCTGTAATACACACGTTCAAAAATAAGGGAAAGTCAGTTATTTTCAGCACAGCTTCCATAAACCAGCAGTTGACGGGTAGTTCCTGCTTAAAAGTACAGAAAAAATGTTTCATTAATCAATCATTCATTTCTTTATAGAAACCTTTTAAATATTCAATTTTAATAGAATAAACTTAATCATTCACATTGTTCATGCTCTCAGGGCAGCTATAATCGTTGTATACTAATGGAAAAAACAAAAACTACATAACACTTCACTTGTAACTTCTAATACCTCCGCTTCTAGTCTCATGCGCTGATCAAAGACTTCTCATTTTCAAGACTGATTATATCTGATGCAAAAAGCACTACAGCCCTAATAAAGTCATTACTATTTTAGTTAAGATTTTCAAATAAAAGATTTTTTCTCTGCCAATCATTCGCTGTGGTATTTTCACTTAATTGAGCCGTCTCATGTATGCAAAAACCCGTCCAATCTCACAATCTTGAATTTTATTTAATTCCTCTAAAACCATTTATGTATTGTAAGATTTCATGCTCTGTATAATATTTACTGCTGCTTTAGGCAAATACTCTTCCTTTTCTTTAAAATAGAAACTTCTGAATCAGTTAAGTTTGTTACACGCACTTTCTTCCCACTTTGGTGTCTTCTTATATTTTGGTCTTTTTATGCCTTGTGGTGCAGGGATAGGAATCCCCGCCCCTGCCCGTACACGGGCCACGCCTCTGTCTGTCCCCTTGTCTCACAGGAGACTTCAGGACCAGGGACAGCGCCGCCGCACAGTTCAGCACCACGGCTCCCCACTCAAGCCTGGACAGAGGCAGGAGCCTCAATCAGGCAGCCAATTGCCCCAGCACAGGAGACCAGCTGCAGCTCATCATCCTGATTGGCTGCCTGCCTACAAAAGGCCCAGCCAAGGGCAGAGAGGTGGCAGACCAAAGCCTGTGAGTGCCCAAGCTAATGTGGCCTTTCTGTTTCAGAATCAGCATCAGCATCAGAGCCAGAGCCAGAGCCAGAACCAGAGGAAGACCGAGCCCGCGACACAACCAAAGCCTCCAGCACCAAGCCTGTTGTACCTACCTTGGCTGTCTCCTGCCCTCCTACCTAAAGGGAGGCTTGGACCTGCCCTGCACCCAGCCAGGAGAACTGGTTGCCAGTTAAAATAATAAAACACCCATCCACCCTGAACGCCTGTTTCCTGCCTGGTCTGTGTCACGCCCCGCCGCAGCACTACAGTCTTTATTCATGTGCTTTATTTTAAAGGGCTTTAAGGTGCCTTTCTTGCACTTGTGTTCTAAAGTTTGCACTGTGCATATTTTATATTTTCTTGGTGTTCTCTAGTTGACAACCTTAATAATGCACCTCAGTTTTCTATACCTCCATCATCATAAATTGACAAACCTCAATGGCATTAAAGTGCCTCTTCAAAAATGTATTTGCCTCTCTCCCAGGTCCACCAAGGACCGCTCCACAAGCGCAGTCCTGCACTGGCCCTGTCATGGGGGCAGCCTGCTCTATTTCTCTCTCGGTCATCACTGTTTTTCGTCTCTGAAGGGCCACTTTCGTCAGAGCTCTGATTCTGGGGATTATTGGCTTTATTCATTTTGGCTGTTTTTACAGTGTTCCTACGCTTTCGTGTCACTCTTTCTATGTGGCCTGACAGAATTTCCTCTCCATCACCACTGTCACTGGCCTTAAAATGGGAATATGTTTTCCTGTTGGTTTATCCACTTCACTTTTTCCTGAGCCGCCATTTTGACATAATCTTCTCTCACTTTCTCGCTAGTGGGTCTTCTCTGGGGTTCTCTGCTCAGTTCTCTAATATTATTGGGCCTGGCTCAGCATGCTGCTGATGCTGCATCAGTTTTGCTCTTTGAGCCTCAGTTTCTTCTGCTTGCAGCCTCAATTTGACCTGCCCTGCAAATTCCACATCTTCATTCACTTCTACTGCATCCTCTTCTGGCTCTGTTAACACATTCTTACTCACCTGGATAAGGCGGTGGACTCAGAATGGGGTATAATGGCATTTATTCCTGTTTCCCTTTCTCCTCCCATTTTTGCTCCTTTCCTTTATCTTCCAACATGCCTCTAATTTTTTTTTTAATTATTTTTTGGGATTTTTACCCTTTATTTGATAGTTATACAGTGGAGATAGACAGGAAAGATGGGTAGAAGAATGGGAAAGACATGCGGCAAATGACCCGAGCCGGAATCGAACCTGGGTCGCCGCAAGAAGGACACAGCCTTCATGGTGCGCGCGCTTAAACCGATGAGCCACCGGGGCGCCCCGCCTCTAATCATTCTGAGTGAGTCGCAGGACTGTTTCCCTTCTTACCTGAACCACCCCAGTACTTCTTCTTCTTCTACTCTCTTTTTTCACGTTTATCACTCCTGTCCTTCGGTTTACGGTGATTTATAATAGCTTCTACTTCATCACACACAACGGTGACTTCTGGGTTATTTTAATGTGACTCCTTTGTACTGAAATTTGGGCAGGCAGTAATATAAGCTACGGGTTTACCAAGTGCTTTCCTGTCCTTGAACACTAAATTCTTCTGAGATACCAAGAGCGGGGAGGGTGCCGAAAACTCTCTGCATAGTATTTTCCTATTCCTCATCAACTCAATTTGATCTATATATGCTCTGCTCAAAATGTGTTTTCCTTGAAAATTTTCCCGTCCCTCATCAACTCAATAACGTACATAAAATTAATTACAATAAGTTTATTGCATCAGTATTTACAACCGCAAATTGTTTAAGCGCACGCCTACAATAATATTTCGAAAAATCTATCAAACCAATATTTATAAATGCGACTCGTTTAATCAATATTCTTTACAGTAAAAGATTGCTCCAGTAGCCTTCTATCAGGGTATTATGTTCTCACTAAGAATGGCTTCCCACAGTGCTCTGCTCATGCTCTATTCACACTATATGCCCAGAAAGCTTTTTATCTCTTAGATCTTTCCTTCAAAACAGCACTAAGATCGACATGCGATATGCCACTCATACCTATGCACGCAAAGTGTCTTTCTGACATCCGCCCGTCCGATTGCAATGATAACAAATGGAGCAACATGGTGTAATTAATTATCTGTCTTTGTACTGCTCTTTATCTGACGGTATTAGAATTTGCGTCCCATACCCTGTTTCCCTTTATTATTATCAATTTGGACATCTGCTGTTGAATCTTTATACATTTCTCAGTAATTTTACTGTCAACTTATTCATACAGTAATCAAACTTTAAGGGGAGGAGAAACCCAAAAAATTATGGTTTTTAACAATTTTCATCAAAATTTTAATTTTGGTCTTAATTAAAAGTTTAATCATTCATAATTAAGAGCAGGTGGATGCGTCAAGCGTTAGGGGGGCAGAGAAGGCCAACCTAGACTCTGAAAAAGCCAAAAGAAAGGGCAAATCACTTCAATCTGCTCAAGAACAGGACAATCAGAGGGAGCAGGAGGAAGAAGTTTATGCTTCAGGGGCATTTTAATGTTCTAAGTTGACTGTTACAATGATTTGTAGGTGTACTTTGACTTTAACCTGGATTTTCTCAAAACCTGATTTTTGCCCCGATTGCTATCATTTAAGGCACTATATCTCACTTATTTGTGGAGCTTTTCTCATGAAATTTTGACAGAAGTCTGTATACATATAAGGTCTCCTGAACTAAAAGTTTTAGTTTAGCACTTTGGGTCTGTGAGTTATGGTGATTTATATTTCATATTGAGGGGGCGAAAAATGGCAAAATCCTCTTTTACCCCACTAAATCTCTAGTATTATGTGTAAATGCTTTATTCTAGTTCAGAAGAAGGTGTAAACATAACTAAATCTAATTAAAAAAACCTGAGTCAAATATCTTGCTTCAGTCCTGAGATATAAGGCAAAAAAATAATGGTGAAATCAGGGTGGCGGCCATTTTTGAATCACATGACCTAATTATGCAAATTAGGTCAAATTCATATTTTGTGTATTTCAGGTCATCTACTGTCAATACACCAAGTATGAATGATTTCTATCCAAAAATGACAATTTTTTTCCAAAAGGTTTCTCCTCCCCTTAATGATTCATGCCAAAGTTACCCCACCATCCAAAGCAATGACCGACAGAACTGGTCAACACAGACTCCCCGATCTCCGCAACCCCGGGAAAGGTAGCTCACTAACCGCAGCTCTTTCCGAAACCCGCATTGCCCTAAATTGGTTTGAGAGCTCCTTTGATCAACGAACACATAGCTACCTCTGCTCTAAATATAAAACCAAAGGCCTACCTCAAGTTGAATCCCTGCCAATTATTGTTTATCATTTGCTGTAATGGTACACTTCATGCAACGTTATTTTTATGCTGACACTACCACTGTGTACCTGAGAAGTGCCCTTGCTATCATTTGTGACTGGTTTATTGCATTTAAAGGGGACCTATTATGCTGATCCTTATTTTAATACATATTAGTAATGTTATAATGTTGGTTGTCCATGCTCAACCTCTGGAAAGTTGCTAAACATAAGATACAGGGGTTTTGCCGTAATCCAAGAACGTGATTTCATGAGCGTGATTTCCTCTCTGAACAGCTCCTCCTGAGATCCTCATGAGATCTGGGCAAAACCTGACGTCAGGTTGTGCAGTCCAATTAGTACAGACCTAGCCAGAGCCAACCACTGCGCTGGACCTGCCCACACCGGAAACTATTCTAGCAGGCACTAACAACGGCAGATCATACTATGCCTTAGTAGCGCCGACACTTTTGGAAATACAAAAAGAAGAACCGCAGATCATTTGAGGTGCAATTTTGTTAGTGTCTCTCCCAAAGCTACTTGTCCGTTTACTTTTGGACGCAAAGAAAAGCACCTATTTCTCTTCCAAAAGACGATTCCTCCAGAAATCAGTGGGTAGCTTTTTTGTTTGCTGGCAGCAAACAGCCACGGCCAAAGAGGACGTTAGCTGTTTGTGCTCAGCATTTCACCAACGACAGCTTTGTCAAGAAAGGATAATTCGACACAGGATAAGCGTTTCAGCTGCTTCTCAAACCTGAAGCAGCTGCATCAATCAAGCGCTCGGAGCCACAAGCTGTAAGTAACCATATAACAGCAAATAATGTAAGTGAAGCTAACGTGTTACGGGTGGCTAGCAGGACCGCTAGCGATAGTTAGCACTAGCAACTGGCCTCAAGCGCAGGCTTTCTAAAATATCTGAAGATAAAGCCTGTATCGGTCGCGACTGTCCTTGACTCACAGACACAGAAGCTGTAAGTTGCTTTTACTGCATAAGCCAACCTGACGTTATGGCCAGTTGATTGTGGCTGTAGCACAGCGGCTAACGTAGCCAAGTTACTGTTCCTAATGTTTGTGTCCTAAATATGCAAGATTGAGATCAGGGGAAATTCTACAGAAGGTGTGTGAACATAAACCTCATTTGAAGCTAACTTTTAATACTTGTTTGTAATTTGGATGCTTGGTACAACTGTTCACAGTAACAGAACTTGCCGCTGTCTGTAAAACCTGTATTGCAAGGGTTTATCTCTGTGGTTATGACCGCTCGGTTACCAGCTACTGCATGTTAGTTTGCGTGCTCTGCGAATTAAAAATGCTCCTGGTTAACTTATATGCAGTAATTCTGATCAGTATGCTTGTGTTACTTCGGTAAGCATCAATGTGGCAGTTTCATCATAACGTTGCCCGATTGTAGCCACTACTGTTAGTGATCGCTTCACTTATCCATGACCGGGATCAGCCGGATGCTTCACAAATGTCTGAGCAAGCTCTCTGGTGCTACCGTGAAAGCAATGCGAAACGCAGAAGCTCTACCGGTTTACAAATGATTTCTCTGCACTACCTTGACAAAATTTCATCCCCCTTCAGAAATTGCTGTGGCTAATAAAAAGCAAAAAAAGGCGGAGATTAAATAGGTAATTCTTTCCTGTAGAAGTGATCAATTCGCTAGCTCCACATAAGCAACTTGTCCGCGCTAACGGAACTTACGGTCTGCAAAACCTGTATTATGTTCATAACATAACCAAGCTCTCTCTAGCTGTCGCACACTATCCATAAAGCTGCTTTCACATCAGACACGAAACAAATTTTTTCGCAGGACATATTAGCCTACATTCAAAGTCAATGCAAAGACGCGAATACACGTTTTGGGCACGTCAAGCCAAGCCGCTTCACAATCGAACGCGAAACAAATTTTTTTATGCGACAGATTGGCTACATTCAAAGTCAATGCAAAGACCCGAATACAGGCGTTATGGACGCGTTAAGCAGCTTTCACACCGGACACGAAACGAATCTTTCGCGCGACAGATTACATTCAAAGTCATGACCGCTTATCAGCTACTGCATGTTAGTTCGCGTGCTCTGCTAATTAAAAATGCTCCTGGTTAACTTATATGCAGCAATTATGATCGGTATGCTTGTGTTACTTCGGTAAGCATCAATGTGGCAGTTTCATCATAACGTAGCCTGATTGTAGCCACTATAGTTGAAGCTAACCGGAGAGGTGCTGTATGTGTCTGCCGAGTTGGGCTGCAGTTAAACCAGACGTAGATTTTGCAGAGCTTGGGGTGCGTTTTTGGGTGCTTATGAAACGATCGCTTTACTTATCCATGACTGGGGTCAGCCTGATACATCTCCAATGTCTGGGCAAGCTCTCTGATACTACCGGTGAAAGCAATAGGGAAGCGCACAGCCTATAATGTGTCCGGTATAACAAACGATTTCTCTGCATTCCCATCGATTGAATATTAAATTCTTTACTGTAAAAGTGATCGATTCGCTTGCTCCACATAAGCAACGGTTCACGCAGACGGAACCTACGGTCTGTAAAACCTGTATTATGTTCATGACATAACCGGAGCTCTGTCTAGCTCTTGCACGCTATACATAATGCGCCCATTTTCCACGAGGAAAAGCTGGTCATTCCGAAGCAATAAGTAAACCATTACCACAGGCAATTTCCGAAAAGGCCGTTTAGCTTGGAGCTTTCGCCCCTCCATCATATACCAGCGCGGAAGCTGTTCATTTCTCCACGCTAACAACACACCACAGCTATGCACACGAGCCAGCAGGTCCTAATACACACCGAAGCAGTCCATAAGCTGTTGGTCCACTTTTAGCTGCCCCTCACTGTCCATGCTTCCCTCTAAACTCAGACCCACCGGATTTCTACGGTCTCCGGTCTACACTTGGGCATGTCGACCGGTTCTACAAATGTGTCTATATGGGGTGGATTCTAGCTTCCCCTGCATCCTAGCTTGGAGTAGAAAAACCGCGGTACTCACCAACTG